AGCTCAAAAATTTTTAGCTAAATTCTTTCCACCAGCTAAAACTGCAAGGATGAAGAACGACATCACATCATTCACACAACATAATTCTGAGACTTTATATGAAACTTGGGAGCGATTCAAGGACTTACTCCGAAAATGTCCTCACCATGGTATTCCTAAGTGGTTGCAAGTTCAGATATTCTACAATGGATTTTTTAGTGCTATCCGAACCAATATTGATGCAGCTACAGGTGGGGCATTAATGGGAAAAATTTTTGATGAAGAAAACGAGTTATTGGAGACGATGACTGCCAACAATTATCAGTGGCCCTCTATAAGGATCAATCAACTAAAGGTAGCAGGGATTTATGAAGGTGATGCGGTGACTGCATTGGCTACACAGGTTGCTACATTGACAAAAAAGATTGATGCTCTAGGGGTGCAGCCTGTTTAGAGTGTGGCAGCTGTTTGTGAACTGTGTGCTGGGAACCATCCGAGCAATCAATGTGCAATTAGTTCTAAGTCGATACAATACATTGGTAACCACAACAAGCAGCAATATAGCAATAATTCCAACAATTACAACCCTGGTTGGAGGAATCATCCGGGCTTTTCATGGAATAATAATCAAGCCCAAACTTCTGGTCCAACACAATCATACCCATCGGCTTTCAGAATCAAGCTCCACAAGAAGAAAAGAAGCCAAATTTGGAGGAGCTGCTTTTCAAGTACATAGTACAGAGTGAGACAAGGATGAACAATATAGATGTATCAATCCAAAACCTGGAAAACCAAATGGGTCAGTTTGCTCATGCCATTAACAACCGACCTCAAGGCACTCTACCTAGTGATACAGAGATTAATCCTAAGAGAGAAGGTAAGGAGCACTGCAATGCTATTACATTACGAACCGGAAAAGAGTTACCTAAAGTTGTGAATGGAACTCCAAAACAATCACATGGAGATGATACTGAGGGTAAAAAAATAAAAGATAGTAAGATTACGAATCATGAAAAGAAAGAAGAAGATCTAGTTGCATGTTCTATTGGAGGTAATCTGAGATCTATTGTGCCTCCCGTGCCATTTTCACAATGATTACAGAAACAGAAGTGGGATAAGAAGTTTTCTAAATTCATGGAAATGTTTAAGAACCTCCAAATAAATATCTCTTTCACAAAAGCAGTGGAGAATATGCTTAACTGTATGAAATTTTTGAAGGAAATTTTGTCAAAGAAGAGAAAACTAGGCGATTTTGAGACAGTGGCACTTAAGGAGGAGTGTAGTGCTATTCTTCAAAAGAAGCTACCACCAAAGCTCAAAGATATGGGTAGCTTCACAATTCCATGCACAATAGGCAATCAATTTTTGGGGAAAGCATTGTGTGACTTGGGAGCTAGTATTAACTTGATGTCATTCTCAATCTACCAACAATTGGGTTTGAAAGAAGCGAAGCCTACTAGTGTTACATTCCAGCTTGCAGATAGATCACTCACTTATCCAAAAGGTATAGTTGAGGACGTTCTAGTTAAAGTGGATAAGTTCATTTTTTCAGCTGATTTCATAGTCTTAGATTGTGAGGAAGATAGAGAAATACCTATTATTCTTGGACGACCATTCTTAGCAACAAGGAGAACACTTATCGATGTACAAAAAGGTGAGCTAACTATGCGAGTCCAAGATCAAGAGGTTACATTCAATGTATTTTCAGCTATGAAATTTTCAAAGGTACCGGAAAAATATTTTCGGGTTGATTTGGTGGAAGATGCAGTAAATGAGATATTCATAGGAAGTTGTATTTCAGTTCCTCTTGAGAACGCCAAGCTATATAAAGAGGAGGTGTTCCCGCATGGACTGGTTGAAGTCAAAGAAGCTAATTCGAAGAGAACTTTCAAGGTGAACGGGTAGAGACTAAAGCAATATTGGGGCGGCGACATTGATGATGAAAAATCTTCAATTACCCTTGTCGACCCGGGATGAAATAGGAAGTAGTCAGGCTGAAGACTATAAAACAAGCGCTAATTGGGAGGCAACCCAAATTTTAGTTTCTAAGTTTTATTTCATTTTATTTTAATTTAGTTTTTTTATAAGAAATAATGTAGTTAGTTAGTTAGAGTATTTAAATTGGTATGTCAATTGCTTACAGGTCCCAAGGATTGAACATAAAGTTGGAGTTCACACAAAACCTTACTAGCAGTCAAGAACAGCCCACCTATGTTTCTTAAATATACCTCCGACTCAGCGGACAATGAAGACGCTAACGATGATGCCAACTAGTTAAGTCTCAGGGAAGTTCTCTGTCTTAATTGTTCCTACTTTATACATTGAAGACAATGTTTAGTTTAAGTTTGGGGGTGTATTCTTGTTTGCATTATTATATATGCATTTAGATAGTATGTTTTAGTACGACTTGAGCAATGAGTTGATTTAATTTGATTATGGCCGATAATGAATGGAATTAATTGTCAATTTAAGGGAAATTGATGAACATGTTGAGTCTGTAGTTTGACATACTAGTTGGTTTTACACTGTTTGGGATCTTTTCTTGCATGAGCACATACCCATCTGTTTGGTTAGTTATTATTTAGAGAATTTATTTGATTAAATGCTTATGGGAGATATCATTGAAACTTTAGAAAACTTATTTAAGCATCATTCAAAGCGAATTGAAATATTCATATAAGTTTGGGAGAAATATTGGATATGATGGGTTATTTGAAAAAAAAAAAAAGAATGAAAATTGTGAAAATTATTTTGATTTGATCTTTCATGAGTTAGAAGAAAAAAAAATATAGGAAGACAAGAAACAAGAAAAGGGGCATGTGGTGAGTAGAGATGGAGCGTAAAACGCACTCACTCATAAACATATGTTGAGAACGAGATGGAGCGCAAAACACACTCGTTCAAGAAAATGCGAGATGGAGTGTAAAATGCACTCGCTCAATAGGAGGTGAGATGGAGCATAAAATTCACTCATCAAATAAATGGAAAAGAAAAAAAAAATCTTTTGACCTTCTAGTTATATGGTTGCTTTAATAAGCGGAGGTTGATGTGAAACGTAAGTTCATAAAGTTGAGATTGAGTATCTCCTATGAAGCATTTGATTATGTAAATGTATTTGGGTGATGGCTAGCTGAAAAGTTCGGATATGTACATGTATTTAAAGGGTCATGAGCAGAGGTAAAATTAAGGAGTATGTTGAATTGATAGACTTTGCACTGTCTTGAAGTTCCTCGTGAATTATTATTTGTAGTAACTTTTTGGGGCCATTGTTCAGATTTATATTGATCCATTGTTTGAGTAGTTGGTTGATTAATTTTTATAACTGTTGTTTTTAGCATTTTGCTTGAGGACAAACAAAGATTTAAGTTTGGAGGTATTTGATGAGTGAGTTTTATACCTACGAATTGAGTACTTTCGGTTGATGAAATTACAAGTTTTTAATTATTTTATATTTCTTTTTATTTGTTTTGTGTGTTTTGATGTTATTTGGTAGGAATCATCATTTGGAAGCAAACAAGATCATTTGGAAAGAAACAAGATCAATTTAGAGCTTGAATGGAGGATTTTGAAGGTTGAGCAACAAGGGAGCTGAAAGCTTAAAAAATACCAGTGTTGTGCCAGCGCAGAATCAGCACCCCTGCGCCCACATTCTGCCCATTCAGCGCCTTTTTAGCGCCCCCGCTCTTGTGTTGGTCTGTGACACGAATTTTGACTTATTTTTGACCCGAAATTAGACTCTAAAGCTACATATATGCTAGGGTTTGTGTGAGGATGATATATTTTGACTTTTGGGGGCTGAAAACATCTGAAAAAAATTAAGGAATTGAAAGAAAATTGAAGACAAGAATTGAAGGAATCGACACGAAGAAGATTGAACTTGAAGACTAGAGAAGGATCAGAGACTACAACTAAGTTTTCATTCTTTTCTTTTACTTTTACTTCTTGATTTTCTGAGATGTTGTTTAATATGAGAATGATGTTTTCAATTACATTATGAACTAAATTCTTATTAAGGTTGCAACGAAACCTAATGTCTAGTTAAATTGACCTACTCTAGTTTCTAGTTTTATTGATCGTACATGAGTTGTTTGTCATATTTTGTGCTTAATATATGATTGTGGGACCAACAATTAATTTGATTCCTTAGTTGAAATTGGAAGATGAATTCTAGGGATAGATCTGAATATGATGACATGCATCTGGTTAATTCTTCTTAGGATTGAATTGTTGGGTTTGTGTATAGGATAGGAATATACCTATATATCGTGTGTAACTTTTATGAGAGTTTGAATTTAATGAATCTGTTCCAACTTATTTTGCATAGGAATATAGTAATTTAATTGAGAGAGATAACTTTATCTAACTATCGGAAGAGGTTTGATAAATAACTTTGAGTTCTCAGTTAACAACTTATTTTGATCAATTAACTGGAAAGAGAGTGGAAAGACTTATACGAAGTATTAGGGGAAGTTGTAATCTTAACTTCTTTTATCCGGTAAATTCAACCCTTGATTATTAAGTTTAAATTTAGTTTTCAATTAGTAATTTCATAGTTCAATTCTAATTATTTAAATAAAATTGAATTGATATAAAGTTAGTACTTGAAAGTTTTTAGTAATAATTCTCCTTGGGAACGATATTCTACTTATCACTTTATTACTTGTTGATCTTGTATACTTGCACGTAAATTGTCAATACCAAATTTGGACAACATAGGCAGTCAGTGCTATATGGAGGCAGTCGGTGCAGTGGGTTTGTGGCTGTCGGTGTGATTTTGGTGTATGGGTGTTATGGTTTGATGTGTTATGCTGGTTTGCTTGTTGCTATTGTCGGCTGATTTGCTTCTTGATGTCGCTTGGTGGTTTCGCTGTTGATGTCGCTGGATGGTTGGCTGTGGTTGCTGAGTCTATGGTGGAGGATAATGTTAGGATTAACGTTTGTATTTGACTTTGATACTAACTTGAAATAGTTGTGAATGAAAAAGGGACATAAACTAAGAGTAGAGCCCCGTATATATAACCAATAAAAGTTACAATAAGAATAAAAAGGTAAAAAAGAAAAACTTAATAAATCCTAATAAACTAGGCTGCTGCTATATCTCCAACACTTAATGATTTTTTTAAATAAATATACCATTATTTCCAAGAATTAGAAGAACAACTCCACTCAAGAATTGAGGTCTGCTGAACATCACAAATGACAAGGCAATCAATATGCATAACATCTCCGATCAGAGTAACTAAAGTACGAAATCGAACCAAATGCTCAGGCATAATGTTGTGTAGCATCTACCTCAGCTGTCCATATCATTGAGATTCAAACCACAACCAGAAATCATAACTTCAGACAGATTTCCAGGAGGTTCCAAGACTGAACAATCAGGAGAATTTGGAAGCGTAAGCATAGCCAATCTCTCCTTCAGAACTGTCATTCTTCAATGTCACAGCATCCCCCGAGTTACACAATTTTTTTTTTTTTAAAGTACTGCCTTTCCAAGTATAATATACGGTGGTTGATGAGCATTATAATTTTTTTCAAAGACTTTCCTCTCCATTCCTTAGCAGCACAAGAAATCAAAGAATCCCATGGCATCTTTGCAGATGGACATTGCATCGGCCGATCACGGATAATCATAATCTGTCGGGCGTATGGACATTGGAAACATAAGTGCTGATGGCCTTCATGTTCATAATCTACAAAGTATACAATCAGCTTCCAACTGTGTTATAAGCGTCAATTATATCTTTTGTAGTAGACAGAACGCGGCAATATGCATTTGCTTTTCTTTTCTGCACTCTCTAATTGCATAAACATTAACAATCTATGGTCTTTGTACTAGAATTTAACTGTATGTTTCACATAAGATAAAGAAGCTGATGACTGATAGAGTGAATTTTCAAGTGGTTAAACCACCATTGGTGAAAAGCAAATAAAAGTCAGAAACGCGGGTAGGACAGACTTGCTTATATTGTCCGTGGTGTCACTCCTTGAAGCAATCACCGGAGATTTCCAACCGGCCTTTTATGTGTGTACCACTTTGCTACCAAGATAAAAGCTCCTAAATTCACCACGCTTAGCACAGCCAAGAGCCAGAAGAAGTAGTGAAGGTGACCATAATTCAAGTTGTCTGGTATCCATCCGGGATTTCCATTCCGAGTACTGATAACCGTAACAATGGTCACCAGTAAAGAGCTCAAATAGCTTCCGAGGGCAACAGTGGTGAGCGAGAGAGCAGAGCATAAGCTTCTCATGGAATCAGGCGCCTGTTCATAGAAGAACTCCAATTGTCCAATGAATGTGAATACTTCTGCACAGCCTATTATGAAATACTGTGGAACCTGCCAAAATATTGATATGGGGATATGCTGAACATCATAGTAGTTGTGCCTTCTCACAATGTCAAGTCTAACGATCTCTAAGATCCCTGCAGATAGCATGGAAAAGATTGATATGAAGAGGCCAGTTCCCAATCGCTGCAGTTGAGTCAAGCCAGATTTGTGGCCGGTGATTTTTCTGGCTACTGGAACGATGATTCGATCATAGACTGGGACCCAAAAAAGCACACTAAGGGTGTCAAAAATGCCAAGTGATGCTTCTGGGATCTCAAAGCCAGAGTTGCCCACATAAGCATCCATGAAGGTGCCTTGCAACACGAATAAGTTACCCATTTGTCCATAAACAGTACTGAAGATAATAATAGTGGCCCATATAGGAAGCAAACGTATGACTGCTTTCAACTCCTCAACTTGTGTTACTGTGCAACATCTCCATGAGTCTACTGAATCCTCCATATGATCTGATTGTATCACCACCACCGCTGCCTTATCGAAGAAGCTGAAAATGACGATATTGGGAGTGAATCACAGGATGGACGAATTATCAACATTAGGTGAAAAATAAAGATCATGTATAAGTGAGGATTATACACAATTGAAGTTATGGATTCTGCAATTTGATTCATGTACTGAGGAGCTAGGTTCAATTGAAACAATGTAGACTACATTGCTAAGCACTGTTGAGGAATACTTGTCGCTGAATAATTAAATGTACAAAAACTATCAAGAAGGAAGTACAATACACAAATTACCTGACTTGCCACCAATGAACCTTATTGAACTTTGATAGACTAAATATAGAAACCATCTTTCATGTCCTTGCAATTTGACAGATATCAACTGACCTAGTCTTTTAGGATCAGGCACTTACCCGAAATCAGTCGTATGATCAAGCTTGCGGCTTCCAACTATGGCGGATTCTGCATCTGTAGTCTCGTACAAGAGAGACTTGTCAGCAGGTACTTTAACCCGATAGTTTCTCAAAGAGGCCACCACCACCTGGCAGATGCGTGTCAGTGGGCTGCCTCCAGGTTTCTGGTTCCGATACAGCTGAGTACCTGAAAAGAAAGAAACTACGGCAACTGCCATGGTCACAGCTGGAATGCCAAAGCCCCATCCCCAACCGATATTATTTTGTACCCAGACTATCACAGAAGAAGCAATCAGTGCACCAATATTGATGGAAAAATAGAACCAATTGAAAAATGAACTCTTGTACTTCTTCTCAACCTCATCAGAATCATCAAACTGATCTGCTCCATAGGAGGAGACACAAGGCTTAATCCCTCCAGTTCCCAGTGCAACCAGGTAAAGTGCTGTGAAGCACACCGCAGTTTGAGCATCAGTTGGATGACAACCGTCTTCTTCGTAACATGTTGGCTTTAGGCCAGGGACTGATGCTGATAATGTCAAGAGTGCCATCCCCTAAATCAAATTAGAATCTTAAGGCAAGGATGTAGATTTCGAACCATAGCATGTTCAATTTCAGGTTAGATATAAAGACAACAGGCAGAACTTAGTTATTCTTAAGGCTACAATAGTAAATGAACAAGGGCTGAAATTCTAATTATGCACTCTCTTCTTTGGTCTTTTGTTATATTTTGGCTGTATTTTACTTATTTATAGTGGCTCACAAAACCAGTCCTGAATTTGAGAATTCATTTTGTAAGAGCATAGACTTTAAACTAATTGAAAACAAGCAAATGGAAAACTTCAATAAGTCAACTTACAATAACGTAAATGATGGAGAAACTGGCAATTGTCCAATATCTTCCTAAGTAGGCATCAGCAAGAAATGCTCCAATCAATGGAGTGATATAGCATGTTCCAGACCAATTTGAGCGATTTGTTGAAGCAGTAACACTGTGCTGGTTGAGTTTATTCTTGAAATAAAGCAACAAATTGGAGCTCATCCCATAGTATGCCAATCTTTCGCAACATTCAGTTCCTTTCAAGAAAATATTAATTGTCAATAAGCTTTGTCCCACAATGCACAACTCCCACAACGTTTTGAAGAGATGCATAACACATATACCAAGGATATAAGGGCAGGCCTTCCAGCTTCCTGTTTCCCTCTTGTTAGCAGGATTGTTATGGTAATCTTCCGTGCCATCTTTAGTGTAAATATCATCTTCTGTCACGTCTTCTAAAAGAGGGTGTTTGCTTGACTCTGGCTTGTCTTCTTTTGGGAATTCACTCAACACTAGCAAGTAACAATATGACAAATACAAAATAATTCATCACAAGATATATACAGCCGTATTGTTTTGATTCCAATTTCCAATTTCCCTTTTTCCCTCTCTCCTTGCAAACGTAATAGAGATAGGCAAAAAGTACACAGACAACAAACAGAATAATGCAAGTTAAAGTTATACTAGATTTCAAATTTCTGAAGACAATATATAGTTTTGGTAAACAGCATGGAAGCAAAAGTTTAAAGGGAAACAAAGCAGTAAAGTAATACAAGACTACCCATGAATGAAATCATTAAAAGATGGAAATATTTGGCACCTGATTTCATATTGAAATTGACAGCTTTGCCTAATGAAATAGCAGATGAGAGCTCAGGCAGTAGAATTTCCCAATACCCTGAAATAGGTGTAACAGTTCAGGACAGCCGTCACTTACAAAAAGCTCAAGTATGGTATCTGTGATAGTGTCTTCTTTTGGGTTTGAACATAAATATAGAGAGATTAATTTATATGCAGGCACATTAGCAAAAAATCAACATAATTTAGTGATGGCCCACATGACATGACTAATTGAACTCCATGTTTCTTGTATCATCAAACCCTCCGGCCCTGTTTTCATCTTTTCCAGGGACAGTCGCCGTGAAATTAATCTCAGCACCACTGAAGAAACAGAGTCATAATGATTTTATACCATTAGGGCTACAACAGAATAAAAATCAAAACTCAAATTTAAACCAAATATATCGAAGCAACGGAGAAGAAGCTTATATCAGGCGACCCCCACCACGGAGTAAATATTACCGCCATCAAAGCTCCACCGAAGCTACCATAAAACCCCCATCATCAACCCCAGGTAGGTCCAACTTGAAGCAACATCATTGTTAAAACTAGCAATCACAAGCCATGGTTCATGACTTCAATCTCCAAAACCCCTGTATCAACCCTCACTTCTACTAAGTTCGTACTTTAATATCCGGACAAGTGCTGGTTTGAGGACTGCAGACTTGCCGGAGAATATAGAAAACAGAGACCTGATAGTTCTTGGACTGATTTTGGCAGACGAGTTAGCCTGAGTGTAAATGATCGTAAACAGCTCGGTATAGATTCTTTGGCTATACGTGTGTGAGAGAGAGGGAGAGAGAGACTTTTCAATGTTTTCATGCTAAATATATTTAAGCTGGTCGCAGGGTGGTTGCGCTACAAATAAAATAATCAAATTCTAGTCGCGCCTCTTATAATTTATTATATTTTTAATGACACCTTCTTATTATCTAAAATATCATTAACACTCTTTCTAATTTATATTTAAACACTCACACTCTCTACAATTAAATCACTATTTCTAACAAAAAAAAATTATCTAAAATACTACAATTACCCTTACATAAACTTCAAACAGTCTTCCTATATAAAATTTAAATCGATTAAAATTTATTTTTTTACATATTAAAATTCGAGCTGATTAAAATTTATTTTTCTACATATTAAAATTTTAGTTGATTAAAATTTGATTTGAGTTGATTAAAATTTTTCTTTTTTACGTATTAAAATTCGAGCCTATTAAAATTTCATTTTTTTTATATTATACATGAGTTTTTAATGCCGATTAAAATTTATTTCAAGCCGTTTAAAATTTATATTTTTTGATTTATTAAAATTCATGTTAATTAAAATTCGATTCAAGTTGATTAAATTTTTCTTTTTACGCTTAAAATTCGAGTTTATTAAAATTTATATTTTTTTATATATCAAAATTTATATATTTTTTTATATATCAATATTTTTTATATTTTTTAAAATTTGATTCAAAAAAATAAAAAATAAATTTTAATTGATTCAAATTTTAATATATAAAAAATATAATTTTTAATTGACTCGAATTTTAATATGTAAAAAATTAAATTTTAATCGGCCTAAATTTTAATACGAAAAAAAAATTAAAAATAAAGGGGGTTTCATTGAAAATATTTCTTTCTTGAGGAGTATGAATGAAATTTTTTCTAAAATATATCATGAACAATTTAGTAAAATTACATCCTAGTTAATCTGAAAGGGATTTTAGGGTTTGTTTGAATGAATTTTTGAAGAGGATTTGAATTAGCTTCTCTAAACCCTTTCAAACTCAAACCCTTTTCTACAAAGATGGGATTCAACTTTAAATCCGGTTCATACCCATGTTTAGTATGCAACACATACACATATAGGATTCATAGATATATTATAATTATTAACTATTTGTCATGTAAATAACTATTTTACCATTGATCAATCTAATTTATACCTATGTTAAGGGGTACTGATTACTTTCAAAGAATAACGCGATAATTGTAGCATAATTTTGGGGTGTAAATTTCATAGAGAGACACATTAAAAGAATAATAGAAGAAACAAAGAAACTAAAGAAAAATATTAAATGATTATTGGAGAACAAAGATTAATTTAAATGCAAATTCAAGTGAAACAAAATGACTAACAGAAAAAAGTACTCAAATTTGACAAACAATAAAGTGTCGGGAATCCCTTGCATAAATCTAATATTTTAATTATTTTTAATGCATTAAATAACTCAATTGATAATTTAATTCTCAATTCTCAACCGGAAGGTATAGATTTATAAACTAAGATTAAACCACATGTAACCCTTTGAAAAATCATTCACCACTTTGAAAATATGTAAATTATTATTACTATTGAGAAAATCTAACGACGACAATATACTTAAGAAACAATATCGTAACAAAGAATTAAATCAATATAGATAAATAATTGATCTAAATATAATCAAAGAACTAATCCATTCAATAGAAAAAACATGACTAACAGAATAAATTTTATTATTATTCGGAGAAGAAAACATCAACAATAAATTGAGATTGATAAAATAAAAGAGTTATACTAATTAGAAATCAAATGCAAAAATTAAAAATAAATAAAATATTATTTACTGTGCAAGTTCATCCATTGTCTTACATGAGAATTTAGTTACCCATGAAAATAATAAACAATAAAAATCTTCCGAAAAAATAGAACAAAATAATGGGCATTGGAATTATTTCTACTCGGTGAACTGCGTCTGCCCCTAGCCAGAATAGCCGCTGCCTCCTTTTTCTTTCTTTCAGCCGCCACCCCTAATAGAAAAGGACGAGCGAGGGTTTTTAAAAGTCAATAATCTTTTGAAAAATACTTTTTCCTCCCCCTCTCTTTTCTAGCTTTTCTATTTCAGCTTCTAAAACTCAAATCTTTTTGCTTTAGCCCCTAAAACCCAAATCTTATATAATTTGAGAAAGATAAAACCCAATAAAAATTATGAGTGCCGAGCCCACGTGACAGGAACATCAGTTTCAGTCTTTTTACTCTATGGGCTGCCATAAAATAAAAAAAAATAAATATAAAACCCTAACAATAAAGTTCCAAAAATATTAAGTGTAAAATCCAATTGTAAATTATCTTTCACCAACCAATAATGAAATATTTAAGATTTAAAATATTATAAAATCATGCTCAAATATATATTAAATTCTATAAAATAAATTATATCTAATTATTTCTATTCACATTTTAACATTTTAATCTAATAATAGAGTATTTAGATTGCACTTTTGCGCACTCATCACACCCTCCAACTTGCTCATTGCTTATTCCTATCAATTTTCATGCCAAAACAATGAAAGAAAACAAAGAACATCACACACAAAGGCCACCAAGTCACACTTTTCAGTTTCATATATCAAAAGAATCTTAGGAATTCAATAACCCTGTCACAAGTAATCCATAGAGTGTGTGTGTGTGTGTTCCAAACTATATCCATCTAACCAGAAGCCCTGACACATGTAACATCAATAACATCTTAAGCAAAAGGTTCAACGTCATAACTCATGGGTATATAAGTGTTTCGTGTGAAGATTCTCTCTATGGAGTTGACAATGGATGTGCACACACTCTCATGGGGAATTAAGCAATTTTGTACAAACAATAAGCAAACATTGATCCTATGATAGGAATTAACAAATGAGACTTCCACCACATTTTCCCAAAAGCTTACTTAGAATCAGAAAAGTCAACACAAAAGGTTGTAACGTGGCTTAGGTTTGAGGCTATATAAAAATAATAAAAAGGATTTAAAAACTTCCAAATACATACAAAGGAAATCTTGTTAAATCTCTCAATAAACCACATTTCTCACTTGATGCACTCTTTAGCCTTTCAAATCATCGAATAATGCCTCTTTTCTTTTTTTTTGTTCTTGAAACAATTTGATGAACAATTATGTCACCTTGGTATTTTACTATTTCTACCCAACCGTTGTTGGGGAGACGGTAGAAGAATTGGTAGGTAGTTTTTCTTTTCAACAGTCTACAAAAGCAGTAACTCTGTTCCTCTTTTAGTTTGTTGAATTATTATTATTATTATTATTATTATTATTATTATTATTATTTCTTTTTATAGTATTTTTATTCTTTTAGTAGTCCATTGCCTTGCATGCACAGATATAGGGACACTTTGGGTAGATTTGCTAGTAGGCCTGTGGTAGAGTTAGAATTAGATTTTTTAAATCCTTTATTTGAAAATTCATTGAGTCCTGAAAAAATAGATGAACATGAAGATCAACTCATTAGAACTCTTCATGATTATCTCCACCCTACATGCACAGCCACACCATCATGCATCATGTTTTCAACTAATACTCGCCAACTGAATTTTAAAACAGGGATGATACAGTTACTCTCTAATTTTCATGGTTTGGAAAATGAAAATCAATATGTGCACATTAGGGAGTTTGAGGAAGTAGTTGCGATTTTTCATAATCAAATTGCACTTGATGATGTTGTGAGACTTAAGTTCTTTCCTTTCTCTTTGAAGGATAGAGCTAAGAGTTAGCTATACTCGCTGAGACCACGATCTATTGAGTCATAAAGTGAGATGACTCAGGTCTTCTTTAATAAATATTTCCCCCAACATAAGACCAATGCTTTAAAAATGCAAATCTCTACCTTTACACAAAAGGACAGTGAGACTTTGTATCAGTCTTGGGAGAGATTTAAGGAGTTGTTGAGTGTGTGTCCTCACCATGGGTATGAGAATTGGCGCTTAATGAGTTATTTTTATGAGGGACTTACACCTAGAGAGCACCAATTTGTGGAGATTATGTGTAATGATGAGTTCTTACGAAAAGATTCTGATGAGTCCATAGAATACCTCAATGAGCTTGCTGAAAAAGCTCACACTTGGATTGGACTTAGTGCTACTGAAAGCACTGATAGGTCACGAACTATAGGAAACCCAAATGGTGGTGGAATTTACCATCTTAGGGAAGAGGATAGTAAAGGCTAAGGTTGAAATGCTCACTAGGGAGTTAGATATGTTAAAGACTAAGGACTTAAACCAACACACGTGGCTAATCATGCAGAGTCTTTTGGACCATGTTTTGTGTGTGGTGGGGTAGATCACCTTGCCCAAGAATGTCTCACACTTGCTGAAATGAGAGGGATGTATGAGAAATAATGTAATGCCTTAGGTATGTACAAGAAGCCTTTTACACCTTACTCTGATACCTAGAATCCGGG